AAAATAAAAATTATTGATGCAAATGGTATCATGCTTTGAAAGAGGGAGCGTGACCTGCCAAGATTTTGTCTCTGCCTCTGTCTGATCGGTGGGGAATCGAGACTTATCGAAACCAATACCCTTGGACTTATTCCTCATGCTTTAAATCCCAAAAGATGAGTGAACATGATTAGATAATTCAGAATATATGAATCGACCAATTATTGCTTGATTGTTTATATTGCACTAGATTATATTCTATACTCATAAAAAGAAAATACCAGACTGGAGGATGATACGGATGCACAATAACTATGATGGTAAAGATGAATGAATTGATCAAAAACAGTGACAAAAGACAAATTTATACCCACGGTGTCGACGCAGTCGGTTGGAGTGCAGGGATTTTCAGCTCCAGAATTGGAGGTCGCTTGTTCAAATATACAAGTTACGTGTAAACTGCTCTGTCGGGAAAAATGATGCCGGGCAACAGAATTGTTTGGCTAGAGGCATGTTGAATCGCTTTCTCAAGGCGATAATGTCATCGGAATACAACTTAAATTCTCAATCTCTCTCAACATAAGCATGCAAAAACTGGAGTAGCTGCTCAAAACGAGGGAATATGTTCATATAAGAACAACAAAGTACTCTATATCGTGAACTTTCAACATATGTAAAAGTGGACATTCATTAAAAACAGATTTCGAATCGTTTAATCACAATTTTTCATGGATTTGAAATTTCTGTATAAATGAAAGATTTCATAGAAAACCAATGTCCGATATAGATTAAATATAATCAGGCCTATCCAATGCACAATGTGCACTTTTTTTTGGTCAGATACAATGTGCACTTGAGGGCCAATACTTTCAAATAATAGTTAGGATTCATTTGTTTCGCGAAAAATTATTGGTTTGGAAAATATTTTCCTAAAAATAATTATTTATATTTTTTGAAATAATTAATCAATGAAAATGTTTTCATTATCGATAACAATTTATATCTAATTTTCATATATGATGTAAATAATTTTTGTTTATTTATTTGGTAAGTGATACATTGATGATTTTTAGGAAAATATTTTTCAAATCATTCATTTTCCGCATTTTCCACAACAAATGTATTCTTACGTAACATTCTTAGGCTGCGAATGATAACCATTATGTTTCTCTATTTCTGTTCTAGAAATAGGTTTGGAACATAAATCCGTTTGGTAATGCAATTCCATTTTCTATTTCTGGAACAAATTTTTGTTCAAGAAATAGGTTTGAAACAGAAATCAGAAGTTAAAATTTTTGCTTTTTTATTTCTGGAACAGAAATGAGATAAATTCTTTTCATCCCTCGTCCTCATTACTAGCCGGTTGCCCACCCGCCGCCCATCGCCGCCCACTTGTCCGCCGCCGCCGATCACCGCCACCCCCCGCCGTCGGTCACCGCCACCCACCGCCGCCGCCCACCTCCCACTGTCGCCCGTCGTGGGCCGCCTTCCACCGGCCACTGTCTCCGCCGTCGGCCGCTCTCATCCCGCCGCTCACCTCCCACCACCGGGTACCGTCTCCCACCGCCGTCCACCGTCTCCCACGGCCGTCCACCGGCCACCATCTCCCGCCACCGGCCGCCCTCCTCCCGCCGTTGCCCGCCTCCCACTGCCGGCCACCGTTTCCCGCCACCAGCCACCCTCCTTCCGCCGCTGCCTGCCTCCCACCGCTTGCCACCGTCTCCCGGCGCCGGCCTCACTCCTCCCACCGCTACCCGCCTCCGGCCGCCCACCGCCGGCCACCGCCCGCCCACCTCCCACCTTCAGCTACCGCCCACCTCCCACCTTCAACCACCGTCCACCTCTCACCGCCGGCTACCGTGGGCCGCCAGCCATAGTCTCCCACTACTGGTCGCCCTCGTCTCGCCTTTGCTCGCCTCCCGTCGTTGGCCGCCATCCTCCGCACTGGCCTCATCGCTGTCCGCCGCCGCCTCCCCCCGCCATCCGCCGTCCGTTACCACCGTCCGCTACCCGCCATCCATTCTCCGGCCACTCGAGAGAGAAATTTTATATTGCTATCAAACAAATTTCTATTTCTGGAACATAAATTTTGTATTATTATCAAACGTGTTTTTTTGCTCAGAAACTCCTCTAGGAACAGAAATAGAAAAATCAATTTCTGGCCAGAAATTAATTTCTGAAACAGAATAATTGTCATTCGCAGCCTTAGTTAACACAAAGACTTAACTGATTCGTAGTATTTACAGGGTGTTTCATGGGCCTCCAGATAAATGCCCTGAATTGTTATAAAAAGAACGTGCATGTTCTATTTTTCAATGAAGATTTAGTCCTCTCGCCCTCCCCCACGGGGAATGTAGCAATGATGAACATAAATTGCATTCTTGAAGAGTTTTTTACGCACATGGAAAAAAACTGAATATTTTACTCACAAAATCAAGATTTCTAAAAGGAATAAGAAAGACCCCAATGGCAAAATCAAAATTATTTTTGGGATAATGACATAAAGGGTCCCTGAGCTTAGGCCAAATATGCAATGTAATCCCTGAACTTTTAAATTATTCGGTATGATCTTTGAACTTTAATCAAATATGCAATATAGTTTCAAAACTTTAAGTTGTTCAATATAGTCCCTGAACTTTTAATACATGTTCAATTTAATCCTCGAAGTATATGAAAATGATCAATGATATCCTTACATTAATTTAAGTTCAGGGACTATATTGTAAATTTCATATAATCCAGTGACTAAATTGAACAATACTAAAAATATATGGACTTTATTGAACAAATTAAAAGTTTAAGGGATCACATTGCACATTTGACTAAAGTTTAAAGATCATATTGAACAAATTAAAAGTTTATGAACCACGTTGCATATTTGGCCAAAGCTCCGGGGCCATTTATGTCACTTTTTTTGTGATGCAAAAGGATGTAACACGCCACGGTCCTTTTCGAAAGAGCACGATCACGTGAGCGTTTACCTACAGGAACTCCGATTAATACTTTAGATAGCGTCAAGACCGACACAAGGTATCGCTCGACCGCCACTGAAATAACAAAAATAAAAACACAAAACTTCGCAGCAGTTCCTTTCTCCCCCACTTTTAGGTTAAAGAATCTTGAATTTCCAAGGGGTCCTTTTCCATTCTTCCATTTTTTTTTTGGTAAAAATCCATACTTTGCATCCCGGGTGCGTTTTTACTTTTTAATCTCTTTTCTCATCCCTATTGGGTGCGAAGCTGATCACTCAAACATCTTATCGAGAAAGTAAAACTCTCCCTTCTACATCGGCAAATGCAGTGGGAGATTGTGGATGCACTCACTCCTGCATTTTGCTGAAGTCTGTCTGCAGAAACATTGTTGTTTGCTTGCGAGTGATAACGACGGGGGGCAATTTCTACGGATTGCCTCTCTCGTTTGTTGTTGTCCACAAGAAATTGCTTCCTTATTCGTTTAAAAAAATAAACATGTCTCTTTCTCGCATAGGTCGGTTTTGGAAAAGATAAGGTTAGGTCGACTTGCTACTGCACAAGCTCGAACTCGGGGGAAAATGTTTTCCATCCATCGTCAACCTACTGCACAAGATCGATTTGAATCTTCGGAACCGTCCCTTTTTCTGTCGATGCCTACACTTCGTATGGAAGTTATTACGCTAGGTCGTGCAAACTAAGCAAGGCATCATCCTGCCCGGGGATCGACATGCCGAATAACTATTAACTGCTCTCAAAACATACTGGGTCATCATATATATTTAGATGGAGGGCACGATTGCCATTTCATATCTAGAATCTTTTTATTTTTCCTATATAATTTGAACAATACCGTCATTATATATATATCAAGTTCAAGTTACGCCAAATATAATTTTTTTCTATAACAGTCATTACATGCATGGCATTGAAATTAGCTTAAATTGTCCTTTATATTTGGTGTCTACTGAATTCAATCTCTTGATTTGATATGGAATGCATCCCACCACGACACGTTTTAAAAATATTATTATTATTGTGGTATTATTATCATTAATATTATTATATCATAATGTTTGTTTCATTGGAAAGTACATGGAGAGGATAAATTGTTGGGTAGCGAGTGGCAGCGAGTGGCGTTTGATAGCCAGGAAGGCGGGATTCGTTCGTCTCTTTCAGATCCCCAAAATTTGGTTTCGATTTGTCCGGTGGAGGTCTCACCTGGTCTATATAGTCTGAGGCAGATGGAAGAGAAGGAAATTTTTTTTTTTTAATTTTCTTTCAGTATTTAATAATAAAAATTTGGGCCGAGTGATTTGTGGGGGAGCGAGCATTATGTCATCCGTGAACAAAAAGAACGCGGTCGCAGTTGATTAGGGCGTCGGGAGATTTTCGATCTAAAGTTAGGTATTCACAACAAATTATTCCGAGTCGGGTTCGCATGCACGGGACAGAAGGGTCCAAGCGGTCGGACATTTGCGCTTATGCGTCTGGAATATTAAAGAGGACCGTGTCTTGCTCCATCCCTTATTAGATCAAAAGAAATTTCCTTCGACCGTACGTCTGATTGAGTTCGTAAGATACACTGTTCAAGTTCGGTCTTAGCTAAAACTAAAATTGGGCGATACTCGTGTTCACAATTCGTCGACCAGAGTAACCGTCGAAAAACTTGACCCTATAAAAAGAAAGATCATAATCTTTTGGAATATGGTATATAAAGCTCAACGGACACGGATACATGGTAGGAGATGGGGATATTTTTTCGTCCGAATTCGACACTCATTAATTAATTCGAATAGACGAGGAGGTCGTACGTACCGCCGGATGAGATACAGGGGCTCATGTGATCCGACGGTAAACTTGTTAGGCGCGTATGGACCGTGTGCACCCCAATACCCGAAAGCAGCACACCATGGTACGGAGTGATGAAGAGGAAAAGTGTACGAGGAACGTGGCCACGTGGCGAGAGCTGACTTCGAGGAGGCGCAACCAGGAAATATCGACTGAGCCAAGTTCGGTTGGTTCGCCCATATAATCTTCCAACCGATCTCTCTCTTTCCGTTCATTTCCCGCGAAGGCGCTTCTTTCTTGTCATCTTTTGTCTGATCGTGGAGCGTTGCATCCGATATGGGGAAGAAGCGGCACATGGATTGGACCTCCGGCTCCATCATGAGCGCCGGCAGCGAGAGAGTCTCGCTCCTCAACAAAAACGTACGCCGCGCCAATCTCTCTCTCTCTCTCTCTCTCTCTCTCTCTCTCTGTGTCTCTGTGGTTTCTTGATTTGAGCCCGGTGAATGGTTTCTAGCGGTTTCGGGCCTTTTCAGGGATACCCTTTTGTTCCTTTTTCCTTGCACGTCTGAGGTTTAGGTTCTTGTTGTTGTTCTTGTTGTTTTTCATGGTCACCTCCGCTTGTCCCAGGTTTCTTTTCTTCTGTAGATTCTGCTCGGGCTAGTTAGGAAATTCGAACTGTTGAGCTCCTTGTGTGTATGCTGGTTGTGGAGGACGAAATTGTGTTGATCTTATACTTGTGTGCCTGGATGTGTTGTGCTCTGTGATTGCTTTCCTTTCTTTATTTCTTTTTTCTTTTTGCCCTTCTTCTTGTTATGGTTGGAAATGGAACTTTGGGCGTGGACCATTGACATGATTACTAGTTACCAAGAGAAAGAAATATGAATTAAATCCAACTCTCGAAATGCGTTAATAGCCGAGAGTGCTTGTGTGCCCTATCAGGCATGCATTTGCTTAATCTTTCTTCGAAAATCTTGAAATTGTTGCTTTTTCTGATTCTTGGAGTTGGTTGGGATTTCAAGCCTGTTTGATCTTCTTCAGTCGTGGTCAGACTAGTAACCTAGGGATTCATAGGTCAAATTTGTCGCGATGCTAATGCAATCTGCGCTTCTAAATTTTGAGGATTGTTCTTCACTTCTAAAGTCTTATTCATGTAGGCTAAAAAGAAGGCAAATGAAGACCAGGCGGCTGAGGGTCCTGTGTCAGACCTTGAGCTCGGGGATGCAGTAGAGGTGAGGGATATTCATGCAATTTCATTTGGTTAACTGTTCTTTCTCTTGAGACACTCTTCTGATAAATCTAATTCTGTTTTGGAAATCTCAGGCAGCTAATGTTGGATTCTTTCGGGTATTTTCACTTGTAAGTGGACTTGTGGTCATTTAAGGTTCCAAAGAAATTTTCCAATTTTGATGCTGTTTGACTCTATCTTTACCTTGCAGGCAAAACCCGAGGCAGGAAAGCTGATTATTGGCACCATTGCCCTACTGATAGCATCAACTTCGAGCGTTCTCATTGTATGTATTCCATTTATATGCGGCTCTACAAGCACATCTTGATCTCACATTCTACACAAATCTTTCTATTATTTAAGTGCTCTTGCTTTTGGGGGACTAGCTTGTCATCTGGTTCTACATTCAAATATCATCTGTGTATGATTCTGCTACAAAGAGCCTAAAAAAGACGGTGCTTCCTAAGCATCACTTGACTGTGGATGATTCATCTTCCTCTGTTGGCTCTGCAATGATTCCCGGTCACATGACTTCATAGTACATCGAACTCTGTCATTAGCAATGGAAAGAGAATGATGCTATAGTGACTAAATTGGTAGTTCCATTGATAAACATGAGACTATAAAACCTGTTACCTTCTAAATGTTGAGGAGGTGGAAAATTTTAAATTTACTCGACATCTTGATCCGGATACGTGGCAGATCTCATAGCTCCCTGTCAAAGAGCATTAAATTGTGGCAGTCGAGGCTTATGGCACAAGTTTTTTAAACTTAAGCAGGATGTTAACGGAGAGGATTAGATTCCTCTCTTCTTTGTGCGCACTAGGCAATGGAGATTCCTTTTGATGCAAAGTTCCATTCTCTCATCCAATATTCTGAAAGATAAGACATAATTGCAGTGGGACTGTAGCTGTGCAATAAATACTGAAATTGTGGCAGCGCTGTGGCCTCCGTATCATCATTATCTTTCGAAATTTTATGAAAGGCATTAATTTCAATGCAGCCCAGATTTGGAGGCATGATAATAGACATTGTGTCCAGAGAGATTAAGAGCCCAGAAGATCAAGTTGAGGCCTTAAATGCTGTCAAGAACACTATATTAGAAATAGTGCTCATAGTTGTAATCGGGTAGGTCAAAATTTTAAGTTTTTGTACGTGTTTCTTGTTGTGTGTTTGCTTTAGTTTCTGCCTCTTGGCTGTTCTTATTTCTCATGCTGAGTAAAACATTTCTCTTGTTGATCTTGCTTGGTTTGAGGCATAGGAAGAATCTTCCTGATGCCGTTGCTTTTGCTTCATATAGGCTTCTGAGATGCAGAATATGTGCTCTGCTTTTCCCCTTATGTGTGAGGTCATTTAAGAGGAATTAATCAGCTGATTTTTTGTCAGAGCTCTCTGCACTGCTCTTCGAACGTGGTTGTTCACTTCAGCTAGTGAAAGGGTGGTGGCTCGTTTAAGAAAAGATTTGTTCAGTCACCTTATCAATCAGGTAAGGCATGCTTCTTTCTTTGATGACATACTGAAGTGCTAGTATCCAACACCTGGAGACGTTTCGTCTAGCATCTGGAATTATTGGTTAAACTAGCATCATACTGTATTTAAATCTTGTTCTGGCATTTTGGTTTTCTCACTAAGTGTGAGACTGAAACACGCAGGACTGCTGGTTCAGTGGTGTTGGAGACAAATATGACTTTATGATATTTTATGCCTGATTTTTTTATGAGCATGAATCCCTGAGGACATGTTTTGACCCTTTCTTTGTCAACCCATCAGGAAATAGCCTTTTTTGATGTCACCCGGACAGGAGAACTCTTGAGCAGGCTATCAGAAGATACCCAAGTCATAAAAAATGCTGCGACAAACAATCTTTCAGAGGCACTCAGGAACTTAACAACCGCATTAATTGGTATTTCCTTCATGTTCACGTCATCATGGAAGTTGGCATGTAAGTACTTCTTGGACTAGTGGTTTGAGTTGCTGAGGCCAAGTAGAGTCGTGTATGGGCTCATTGAAGTTTACCATGCTTGTTCAGTGCTGGCACTAGCAGTAGTTCCAGTCATCTCAGTTGCTGTACGTAAATTTGGGCGCTATCTTCGTGAACTTTCACATGCAACTCAAGCTGCCGCTGCAGTTGCTTCATCAATTGCTGAGGTTTCTCTCTATATACTCTTGCATATTTTACTTGTTTCCCTGTCTGGGAAGCTTTTGGGTCATGGATTTGTCTTTCGTTTTTTTTCCTGTATTTATTTTAAATGAGGGAATTGAGTTCTTTGCCCCTCAAGAAGCTTCTTTCCCTGTCAACCTTTACTTTATAGTTTACGTCCTAAACTGCCAAATCTTTACATGATCATGCTTGGAAAAATAAATGAGTAAAATCTGCAGCTCTAGTAGACAAATAATTCAAACATGTTTGCCTTTTTTTTTTTAACAAGTTGACCATCAGCATTAGTATAACAGAGAGGCTTTATTGGTCGATTGCGCGGCTTCTACAATTAACAGCACGCCTTTACAAAATTTTGTCTTCAGGAATCATTTGGAGCCATTCGGACAGTGAGATCCTTTGCTCAAGAAAGTTATGCAACTTCATATTATGCAGAAAAAGTAGATGAAACATTAAAACTTGGGCTCAAACAAGCTGTAAGTCCTCTCTTCCTCCCTCCCTTCCACCGTCTGTGGGCTATAAGACGGCACTATTGCCAATCCTAAGGTAGTTTGTCATCTGTAAAGTTACATTTTTGTCTTTGCAGAGATTAATTGGTCTATTTTTCGGAGGTCTAAATGCAGCATCAACCTTATCCGTCATCATTGTGGTCGTATATGGAGCATACTTGACAATAACGGGCACTATGACTGCAGGCTCACTTACATCCTTCATCCTTTACAGCTTGACAGGTAAATATCTGTTGCTTCCTGCAAACTACTGGTTAATTGAAAGCATCAGACTTTTCATTGGCTTCAAATGTTCTTCCATTATGTGAACTGACACTCCTGTTGGAGTGTCTATCAAAGTATTTGCTTATTGCTTTGGAAGGAAAAAAAGTATTTACACTCGCTAATCTAAGTTTTCGCTTGTTTAATTTCTTTGCCTGCAGTTGGATCCTCAGTCTCCTCTTTATCGGGACTATACACGACCGCCATGAAAGCTGCAGGTGCAAGTAGGAGAGTCTTTCAGCTCCTGGATCGTGTTTCAACCATGCCAAAATCAGGAGATAAATGCCCTATTGGGTCTCTCTCTCTCTCTCTCTCTCTCTCTCTCTCTCTCTCTCTCTCTCTCTCTCTCTCTCTCTCTCTCTCTCTCTCTCTCTCTCCGCATTTGACGTGCACATGTTCCTTACCACCACCATCAGGTGGCCTGAACCCTCATCTGAGGGATCAGTGCATGATGTCCTCTTTTGTAAATTCTAATTCTATGTTTTACCTTAAAAATCTTGATATGCTAGTTAACTCTAGCACTGGCAATTAGGGGCAAACATAGGTCAGTTTAAGCTTTCTTATTAAACATTTGATTTTATACATCTGAGTGAGGTTTGGTCTTCTATTTCAGAAATCCAGACGGAGATGTGGAATTAGATGATGTTTGGTTTGCTTATCCGTCTCGTCCAAGTCATATGGTACTCAAGGTAATGCAAAATCTCATGGTGCTGGAATTCCCCGAGTTTATTAACGCTTCTTTGCTCGTGTCATCATCACAACTGCTTTGTACTGCAGGGAATAACTTTGAAAATGAGACCAGGCTCCAAAGTAGCACTTGTCGGTCCAAGTGGTGGCGGAAAAGTAATTTTTAACATCTATTCCTGTCTAAGTTTGCCTTTGTCCCCTTCTCTTCCTGTTACTTTCTATGGATGGTTTTTCTTAAACATACTATGCACTCATTAGTTCATTTGAAATGTGACGGACTTTTGCATTTTTGCAGACTACTATAGCAAACCTGATAGAACGATTTTATGATCCTCTGAAAGGGAAGGTTATGCTTAATGGGATTCCCCTTGTCGAAATATCACATGAATACCTCCACAGAAAGGTAATCATTTTACACCCATACCCACTTCCTACTCTTGTGCTCTTAGGATGTGCAATTGTCCCTGTGAAGATGGCCTCCATTGTGGACATGAAGAGATTGCTAGCAGTTTCATAGTCCGCCTTGTGTTAGCACGTTGGCGTACCCATGAATGCTTAGGATGTCTGAGAATTGTTATTTCAGTTTTCTTGTTTAAATCATTGAAAGATAACAGCCTGAAATATTGGAACAAACAACAGGTCAGTATAGTAAGCCAGGAGCCTGTTCTTTTCAATTGTTCGATAGAAGAAAACATCGCCTATGGGTTAAATGGGAGAGCTAGCTTTTCTGACATCGAGAATGCAGCAGTAAGCTCTCTATGGATCCTAGCGGTTTTCCTATGTATTTGCTTTTTCATCCTCACAAAAAGATGTTCCTCACGCGGAGTTTAATGATGATTGCAGAAAATGGCCAATGCCCATGATTTCATAGAAAGTTTCCCCGACAAGTACAAAACCGTGGTAGGAGAACGCGGACTGAGGTTGTCGGGAGGCCAGAAGCAGAGGGTAGCTATCGCGAGAGCGCTATTGATGGATCCGAGAGTCTTGCTGTTGGACGAAGCCACGAGCGCTCTGGATGCTGAGAGCGAGTTCCTTGTTCAGGTTATAGATCTTTCACATGTTTTAGAGATGCATTACTCCGAGAGTGTTCTGTACTGCTGTCTAACTTTCTCCTTTGGTGCCTCATCTTTTGTTAAAAAACTTCAGGATGCCATGGATTCTCTAATGAGGGGAAGGACGGTACTCGTCATAGCTCACAGGCTTTCGACGGTGAAGAGTGCGGATAGTGTGGCAGTGATATCTGATGGGCAGATAGCCGAAAGCGGCACTCATGAAGAGCTTCTTCGCCAGGATGGTATCTATTCCGCCCTCGTAAGACGACAACTACAGGAAGGTCCCAGAACCGAAGTTTAGTGTGCTCTTTTTGTGTTATCCATGTAAGAGGTCCTCTTCTTTATGAATCGCCCTCTGTTCTGAGTTCCCTAATGTTACTTGATCCGATGTGATCAACTGGGAATCACAGGATCCCAATTCCTGCTGTCAAAACGCCTCTTGGGCAACAAATCACTTGCGTTGAAACTACTTCTTGATGTGATTAGGAGGTTCAACAGCTAAGTTTTATCTGGAAATGTATCCGACTTACTGAGAGCACTTCTTTGTTTTTAATCTAGAAAGTTACCCGCTTTCGGGAGGAACAATTGTTTTTGTAAAGCACGATCAACGAGTCTTACAAGTACCTTTAGGCATTCTTCTTTTTTCCAATGTTCATTGTCCAAACAGTATTACAATCCCAACCGAGATCAGGGTGCGTTATTGTCCTGAAAATGAAAAGGGATTCTACCCAGAGTGCCATTTCCGATCAAAACAGTCCACCATTATACTATTCTATGCTAGTTGTCTATGAAGACGAAAGTTTCTTGTTTGGAGGGAATAGCAGTAGCATCGGAGGCCGTCATGGAGGTGATGGTAATGGTGATGGCAGAAGTGGTGGCAATGGTGGTGTTGGTGGCAAAAATGACTGCCGTGGTGGTGTGTTGACAACAATGGCGGCGGTGATGGTTAAAAGTTCAGACAACAATGGCGGTGATGGTGGAAAGTTCAAGTATACTCACCCACCTCCCTCAATCACTTTTGCGCCTCCGACTCTCTTTTGGACTCACCCACCTTCAGCTCTCATCCTCAGTTCACTCTCGGCCTCTTACTCTCAGTCCTCCCTCCCTTGCACTCGCCGTCCACCACCCTAACTATGCCGTGCTCAAGTCTGTTTCTGTTTCTCTTCTAAGGTTTGCCCTCATCCTCGTGCTCGATTCCGCTCTCATGCTATACAGAGCATTTGGATCCTTTTGTGGAGTTCAAGTGCCAGGTTTATTACCTTGTAGCATGAGTCACCCGATTACAGGCTAAGCAGCTCATTTGGATCCTTTTGGGGGAGTGGAGTTCGAGTGCCAGCTATTATGAGTTCAACACAACATATCGTGGCAGGTGTTAAGATAAAATAAACCAAAAAACAACTCGAGACCAGCTAATCAGCCCAGGACCGGCCAGTCTGGTCCGGTTCAGGATCAACAAGGTCGTTTTTCAGTTCCACAAACTGAAAACCGACCCTATCCAGTTCAGTTCCAGGGTGGGCACCAACCCACTTGGAACCGATCACCCTAATTCTAATTTGAACTCCTTGTTTTAAAGAATCAGTAGAGAGCCTGTCTGCTATGCTGATTCAGTTCTGCCAACTACTTTTAAGGACCTGTCTCGTGTGAATGCATCCACCATAAATTCAATCGAAATACCAGAGCAGCTGGAGGGAGGAAACGAAAAAACAAACATTCACTCTCCAATTTGAATTGCTTGGCCAAAAAGTCCAACACATGAGCCAACCATCCCCACCAAAAACCGATCGGTATTACAGTTACTATGATTTATCTCCACATGATGTTACTCGTCTCGACATAAAAGTATTGCTCGAGACCAAAAAGCTAACCCTAGTCCCAAAAATATCTTCAGCGGAACATCACCCCTTGCATCGCCTGAGAAGCATCTTCGGTAATTTTGTTTGCTTGAATAGTGGTGATTACGTTTGCAATATTTTCCTGGAGAATGACATCACAGAAATATGAACTTAGCCTCAAAAAGACTAGTTGCATGGTGGACTAATTGACGTTTCTTCATTAAGTAGTAGTCAATAAGCAAAATCAGGTGAATGATAGGAGTTCCCTGCTTCCCGAGAAATAAGTCTGGAGGCTTTGAATTGATAACTCAATGTCTTTCCCAAAAAAATGACATAAATGGGAAATCGTCTACTGTGGTTATATCAACTAAATGTCATGTAAACAATTCTTCTCTAAAATATTTGGGGAGCAAATAGAAGTTGGAAAACCAAGAAGGTTCAATGAGTATGTACCTTCCACGTCGCTAGTTTCCCTCTAAGTGCTACCCACTGTTGCTTTCCAAACACCCTCTCAGTACAACGGCTACATATCAATCGATACTTGTTAACCCAGGAGTTAATGGTAGCATGGCAATCAAATCATCAAAACAATAGAAAGCAGTACTCACCTCACTACAACAACTTCATTCATCTGGTCCATTTTACAATCCATTAACTTGGCAGATATTGCCTTGACAATCCATGATTCAACCTCATCGTCATTAATCTGCAAGGGAGACTAAAAGGATAACCAATTGTTCCAAAGGAAAAGATGAACAAACATTATGGAACAGCAAATCTACCTGGAGGGTATCTCTGATAAGAGCATATGGAATCTGTCCCGAATCACTGGAACCAAGATCCACCAATGACATTAGTCGCATCTTCGTTATGCAGTCTTCATGGACAAGGCCTAGACAGTTTAAGATGTATATTAAATTTAGTATATGTAATTTTAGTTCAAAGTTAACTCGAGAAACAAAAAAGTGAAGCAAATGTTGCACCATAGCTTTTCAATGATGCAGAGTTTGCAGCGTGAAATTCCAAGTAGGCATCCAGCCTCTGGGTCATAAATATCTTCAGAAGCTGATAAACCAAATCATACTTAGCACCCTTCTCTAGTTGCCCTACGGCAGGCATCTCCAGCAAATCACACTGCAATACAGAAACTACCATTAAAAATATGGGAGAAAAAGAAAGAAAGAAACCAATATGCACATGCAAATTAGCAATATGATAGGTCAAGATATCATATATTCACGCATGGAAAGCACCAGAGCAAAGATTTTCCCAGAGACCTATTACCCAAAGGAAACGGTTCTACAGAACAGCTTAATTAGAGGCCACTCAAATGTTCAGTAGTAGTGGCTCTCAGTGTCACAACAAGGTAGTACAACAATATAACCTGTTTCTCAGGTAAGGCAAAAAAATATGGATCACTACAATCGAGTCAACGAACAAAGTATTGCCATGGTGACAGTCACCTTCTTACCAAATTAATAACACACAAAAAAACCCCTATTTGACCTCAATTGACATTCACTGAGGGTCCACCATCCTGAGCAGTTTAGATCTAGTTTAGAAATTCTAAGAAACAACTCATTCATCGCTAATATAAGGCAGAATGAGTATAAAAATAATTAGCTGTAAATAGAGTTGTGTTTGAATTCCATAGACAATATGGAAATGATTTTCTCAAGCTCAAGATTTTTATTGATCCACCTGGCACTTTGAAAAGGGTTGGTCAACCATGAGAATTCCCTCCATGAAATGACTAATGGAATAAGTAAAGAAAATGACTAGGATTCAGTTGGATGGCACCAATAAAACAATGGCTAATTACCATTTCTCATTCTAGCAATAATATAAATATGCCGTAAATAAATCATCAACAGGGGGAAGGGGGAATGTTGGGGTACAAAGTCACCAAGACACATGGAAAAGAAAAAACTAAAAACAGTTGCGCATCATGATGCAAACTGAAGTAGCAAGCATGGGGAAACCAAGTGAAATAAAGGACTCTGAAAGTAAAGCTCACAAGTCACAACCAAATACAACTTGAGATGCCTGGGAGGAGTGCTCGCAGACATAATCAAAGACAATTTCCAACAGCGAGCAGAAAATACCTGGAACATGTCGGGTGCCTTCACAAATTCCACAACTGCTCGCACAGCTTCCTCCTTGGCCTCATCCATTTCATGCGCATCTTCACCATAAAAGGTGGCCAAGTATTTCGTCAGGAACTTGAAAGAATCCTTCGCCGAACTGGATTTTAAAATATGAAAAAACTTAAGCATACCGACTGAAAAGAAGACAAGGCAAATGGATAAAATAGAGCTACGAGAAGATGACTCATGCCTTTTATTTTCTCTCAACGCATTGGAGATGGTAAGAAAGAGTTCTCTCTGATCCTTGATGCCAATACTCCACTCTTTTAAAAAACTATCAATCTTCTTGAAAGAAGGTACAACGTGCTCAGCAACTTTCCCATTAATAGCCAAATTGAGGGATTTCATATATACATGAAATCGGCCATCCGGAATGCTCAGGAGGTTGTATAGATTGAACAGGCTGGAAACAAAAGGCACGAGAATGAGACAGGAATAAAGTTGCAAATAATCTTAACTGACCATCACATTCAATTACATCTTCAAACGCAGTGCAGGCCTGTCGTTCGGTTGCTGAACAATCTTTGCAGATATAAGTTTTGCCATCTCAAGTATTTCATCCGGATTTTCAGATGTTGTCACAGCATTGCAGATGACGGTAAAGACACACTCAAGATCTAGAATATAAGACAGCGAAGTCAGCATAAAAATGCCATATATGTATTAGTCACTATCATTTACATAGCATAAGCGCACACAACATGAAACACCACCATACGACAATGAAGCCAAGTAGAGGATGATAAAAAAAAGTCAAGTTCAGAGTCTACTATGAATATATAAATGAAAGTATAATGTATTTCTTTAACCAGATTTCCCACTGTGCAATATCATTGGATTACAATATGCATTTCTGGTCCTTTTAATGTTCCCAACTCTTGGTACCACCTTTGGCAGATTCGCACATGCTGAAAGATATGTGCAATATGCTTGGAAATGAGCGCATTCTATATTATACAGCAAACAAAGGCGTCTCATGTTATTTCTGATTCTTCGAGAAGACCAAGGCCCCAGAACACAGTCTATCAAGTACTGCCGCAATTTTTATTGAAATCATGACCATAACAAGCTGCAATAAGCACAGGTAAAATAGACAAGAGTGAATTCTGGTATCTGCCATCCAATTACACTGTCCATGGTTGATGGCAAAAAACTTGGCAGCCATTGGAATGGTGCCCACAGGAAAGGACAAAAATGAGTAGGAACAATGCAAAGGCTGATTAACAAAAAAGTCCACCCCTGAAATTTGATTTCCTAGATGAACTCCATAAATACACTACATTATATGTTGCCGACACTTCTGTCTCCAGTCTTCCAGTTTCAAGTTGTCTATCCAAGACAAGCAGTCTTATACTAGGTCCTAGCCAAAAGGGTTGAAAAGGGTATTCCGCAAATGAGTTGAGAGGAAGAAACTCAAGGCGTAGGAACTACATACATGTCCAAGGAATTAAACAAGCAAGATGTTCATAAGAAAACTGAGAATACTATGCCATATCTTCCGCATGATTAAGGGAAAAGAAAGGGAGACTACAGAAACATGAATAAGTTTTACCCTTATCTGAGACCTTTGAGAATATCAAGTCGGCAGATGTGAGCATCAGCGAGACCAAGTCCAACCATCTGCCCCTCACCATGCATTCCTGTGCTTCCACACACAATCTCTCGACTTGAGGCTCCGCAACCTGAACATACCAAGAAGAACATTAAACACGGGATTAAAACCAATTCCCCATCACCCAATTCAATCAGCCGAAACACAGACCACATCAAAAGCAGAAGCCATGTACAAATAAATACCGCCATTATAAACCCTCATAGCCCTCCTCTCAGATTTGCTTCCCGATGAACAATTTAAACCTAACGAAAACACCAAGCTCTTCCACCTTCATCCTCTCTCTCGCTCGAAAATCAGACGGCTAATGCAGCACCTATCAGAACAACGATTGGAAGCTCCTTCTAGCTCCGCCAATCACTCGATTCACACAGCCTAAGCCTAATCGAGAGACGAACGCTGCCTACTCCTACGGTCACCGGGTGCATTCAGATTCGGCAATCCACGAAGGAGACGCGGAAAGAAATCGAGAACGGAGGAAGGCGGGTCGGCCCGCGCGCGAATCTCGCGCGTCGTACCTCGGGACCGGCGTCGGCCCAAGCGAGCTCGGAGGTGAAGCGGACGACCGAGAGGGAGAGGTCGTCTTCGGAAGTCGGGACCACCGTCGTCATCTTCCCTCGATCGCCGCCGCGAATCTGCAGTCTCCGGGAGCGTTTTCGCGGTCGAGGAGCGTAGCGGTGGGTAAGAGAGAGAGCGCGCGCGATAAACCCTAGCGAGGTGATCTGGATGCGAGGGTGGTGGGGGGATTGCCCGTGAAGATACGGCGTGCGTTTTATCGGAAGATGGTGTTTTTTCACCCCAAGGGAAAAAAGAAATAACAGATCTTTTTTTACCTTAAAAAAAGGCCAAAAATTGAAACTTTTCAAATTATGGTAAAAACGTTTCGACCAAAAAAAAAATTATGGTAAAAACGCGCCAAAGCCGACCATGCCAGATAAAATGGTTGGCATTCACGTCAGTAATTTCCGATCAAAAATTTGCCAGAATGACTATATTGGCAAATCATCAAAATAGTTTAGAGTTAAAATGGTAAAATTGAAAAGTTTAGGATTGAATTGATTAATGTACAATAGATTTATGACTTTTTTTGTAATACTTTCCCAATTTAAGCATTACAAATGAAATGGCGAGGTTATCAGAAAAGTATCATGGAATTGTTAAGTGTACCTCACATATAATCGAGCACCGAAATCTAATGCTTCAAGGTTTCACGTATATATTCAAGTAGTTTTCACTTCAACCTAAGTGAATTGTCAATTTCCCATAATGCTTAGCATTAAGTTTCCGATTGACCTGGTGATTAGACCTGTCAAATGGGTGATTTGGGTTGGGTTGAAAAAGGCCCGACCCAAATTGACCTATTAAATCCGTTTTAACCCAATTCCATGCACTATAAATATAGTGATTCATATTCGACCCAACACATCTGATCGATCTATATTGCTAAAACATTTTCATATTTAACCCAAGCCAAGACAATTCATACCAAGACTAAGGTAAGAGCACACAGTGAGCAAAAGAGTTTGAGATCAAATGAGGGTGAGAAAAGGGTGAAGAAAGCACGAGAGTGTTGTTAGATGTAAGTTGTGAACTCATTTAACACTTATATTATATTATATTTTACCATTCAAAACTTATTTATAACCTATTTAGTGAATATAACTTTTTTTTTTGTCAGAAAGTAAATATAACTTACACATATAACAACTCAGTCCATCCAATACGGGTTAAGAAATGCGTTAATGGCCCATTTTTACATGTGTAAAGAAAAAGCCGAACATTTGGTTGAGTATACTTAAACCTTGAATAGGAAATATTCTAGAAACTCAACACGCTACAAATTGTTGTCTAATCTTTGCAAGAGTTCAACCGCTAGTACAGTTCAGTTTTCTATTATTCTATTCAATTTACTGACTTAAATTTGTGCTAAAAGAATTGATATTTTCAGATTTTTCATCCAAAAAATTGATTGTGATCATTTATTGTGTTGCATGAACATGATTTATTCCATAAATAAAAACTTACCTGCAAAGAAGCTTGAATTATACACTACTGAATACGTGCATGTTGGTCATTCGCTGTGTTTCGATGGCACGCCACGAAGAGCCAGGGCCAATAACACAGAGGAAGCTCGGAAATCGGGTCTTTGTGTTGCTCTGTTTCTGTGAAATGCTTTATGAACTAGGGCACTTCTGCAAACCTGAGGATCGGATGCTCGGAGATCGTCAAGAGAACAATTTGCAATCGTTCATTGGAAACATTTTAACACACTTTAAGTGTTTATTAGGTACGAGTCGTTTGGCATTTTATTTAGGAGGTACGACAAAAGACAAAATGCACGCGATGTACGACGATTTTAGGATGGTAGGTCAGTCCCGTAAACCCCCAGCCCCATCCTAAAGGATGCTTTCTGGTTTATTTCATTTCCTTCATGGCCCACTCTATGAGGAGACATAACTACGCACATTAAAGTTTATGTTGTAGAAGCAGGGAAGGAGATTGACATGAAATTCTCCAGCCAACTCTCTTCAGGCTCCTTTGAGAAATCACAAAAGTGATTGTGACTCAGGTTCACCGTCACAGTTTTGTTTCTGCTTCAGTCAGATCATAGATCGTTGGTCATAGCCGTGTACGTGTTTTATCGACCGGCAATGTTGCCAGAATATGGAGCAAACCATACATTTTCTGCTATTTGGATAAAAAATTCCCATGACCTGTTTCTGTGAACCTTCAGAACTGCAACATTCATATAAACATCTCTTACACCTTGAAAGGCACAGAACTGTGCCATGTGCCGATGCTCAGTTGTCACGGACCGGAGGAGCGTGTTGGCCCCTGACACGATGCCCAAGCTTTGTTCAGGAGGATTCTGGGAAAAATCCGGAGCGTGTACATATGTGTGCATGATCTCCTTCTGAATTGGCAAGTTCTGCATTCGGCTCGAGCGGCTACCCCATGTGAGCATTTTAGCAGGGTCTACGTGGACCGGATTAATCTAAGATCAACTCACAAGTCTATCCGAGTTCAGGAAGTTCTCGAAATCTCTACCAAAATCTTGTGCAGGCCTTGAGGCTTCGAGAAGAAAGGCGAGTGATCAGCACCTCTCAGAAGAAATATGCGTTCTGGGGGGTCTGCCTTCACCATGCTCTCCTGGAGTTCAAGAGTAATGGCATTATCTTCAGAAGTCTCTACGTAAAACCGCCTCACGATGCTATACTTGTTTGAAAGGGAGAGCTTCTCAAGCACTGGCGCAAAGGGAATAGGTCTCATCGAAACAGATGCTAATGCGACATCCTGGAACAAACAAAAGCAAAAAGGTGATTATCAGAATCAGTGTGGAGTCAGACTTAGCACACCAATAGACATATTAGAAAAACGTCTGCACAAAAACTAACATGATTTTACTATATAGCTTCCAAAACCAAAATCTGTTTACAATTTCTGAAGCAGAACAATGTTAGATGCCAAAGTTTCATGTATTAGGAATGAAGAAAAACCTTGGCAGGGCTCCTGTTATACAGCAAGTCTCTCAACAGTGACTTGTCCAGGTCAATAGCAGTCGGAGGGTTGTCATTCCCATTGGCATACAAAAATACCTGAGTTTGTTGCATTAGATCATTTGTGCCAGCCTGCATGTATTTAAGCATAATTCAGGCTCATTGAACAGAGACTGTCCAAGCTTCTTCAACTTCATATCACAATTAACCATAAAAGATGCAAATTCGAGTCTATATCTATGACTGAGGTTACTGAAGTCTCTCCATGCACAGCATTTTCTTCCCAACGGTGGGCAGCCTTATCAAGACCAAAACTTCCCTGTTTTCAAGCCCCTAACATCTCACTCCCCTAACTAACTAGAGAAAAGGAAAGGGAAAACAAATAACATGGCATATGTGTAAATCAAAGTAAAGATCCAATTAAAACCACACCTGCTTTGCAAACATGTCCAAAGTACTTTGACCATCGGTTAACATGGCAGCTGCTACAAAAATGGCTTTTGAAATTTTAGAGGGAAGCAATTCCATTGCGTATGATATGCATGCACCCCCAAAATCATGTCCCACCAGGATTACCTGCATGATATTCAAAATAAGAAAGTAAGCATCCACTATTTTTACAGAGTTTAGTCAATTTTGTGGAGCACCTCATAATTTCCAAAGAAGAACAAACAAATACTAAACTCGATTTACGAGTTAAATCATCAAGCATTTGAAACAAGACCTCCACACCGACTCCTATCCTATTTTCAGATACAAGACCACATATATTCATGCGTTACTGTCACATCTAACTGTTCTCCTTCTCCTCTTCTTAACTCTCTCCCTTCCCTTATGCAAATTCAACCCAAATAAAGGGTCCTAAAAAGGTGAACTCCTGAGTCATAAGCGATCATAATTGGTACTTTATTACATCAGTGCGACAACCATTTCTCTTCTGAAAGTTTAAGCTATTAAGAAACGAGTCTGCTTTTTTATTTCTAACACATTTCTTAACACTCCTCGCGCGTAAGTCAGACCTTGCATGCATCATATAGTTTGAGGATGTGTAAGTAGAAGTGACCAACATAAACAGACAGTGGAGGACGAAGACATGACAGCATGAAACAAGTCAGAATAACAGTAAGGGGGAGTGTTAAGATTCGAACTGTCGACTTGTTTTCTGATAAAATGTTAAACCATAATGTTTCCTCCAAAAACTTAAGCTGTCGGAACTCAGAGAACTGGCCTACAATGTATCATTGCCATGTTGCTAAAAAATATCTTGATATGGTACTCAATATGCAAGTCCAAGTAAAACAAGAATTATTTCAGCACCAGGAGGATAATAGCAGTGAAATCTAGCAGGCATCATTACAATGTCAGCCAGCCTGAGGAAATCATGTGAAAGGATGTCCCCACAATCACCCTGTACATCTCAAGAATATGTAACAGCGTAGAACAGAATGGCACCATGTAAAAGGACGATAGCATTGAACAGAATTAAGCCACATAAAAGGAAGATAATAGAAGTGAACAGAATGGAACCATGTAAAAGGATGTCCCCACAATCACCCCATACGTCCCAAGAATATGTAATGTTAGGTAAGTCATCATTGTCGCAGAAAGCAGAGAATCAGATTAGAGCTAAACCTTCTCCCCATCTGCAAGCTTTTCGAGGAAATCAGTCAATGGCTTCACATACTGCGATAGACTAGTGACACCATTTGTATCGAACGAGTGAATCCCAGAACCGGTTAAGTCTATGGCAGTAACCTTAAAACCCCCTTCCTCTAGGAGTGCTATAGTTTTGTACCAACACCAGGCGCCAAAACCACCTCCATGAACAAGGATGAAATGGTCTGTTTCTAGATCATCAATCTTTATTTCCTGTAAAACAAAGAACTTCTCAGGAATCATTCTCCCAACAATTTATAAATGACTAAAAAAAATATCCCCTTTCTCTGATCTGCTTACAGAAAAATTGACAAGATAAATGAAAAATTACTCTTTCAAGTTCATTAATTCATGCAACAGGACAAAAGCTCGCGAACAGGTACCCAATGAAAATATAACTGAATACTCGAACTTAATATTCAAGACGGCCCTCTCAAGGACTACTGTTGGAATCCCACAGCTGGATGATGTCACAGACAACCTCTCTAAAGCCAGAACACTTGTTATGGCACGACTTGAAACACCAAGCTCAAAAATTTCCATGCCTCAACCATCCCAGAATTGATTGATCATGAATTCAACCACATTTCAATATGGACGAAAAAAGTAGTTTTACACCATTGCGCTTCCCGTAAAAAGCTGTGAAGAGTATCAACTCACTTTTCACCTCCTTTATGTAGCAAGTCAATGACATCGAGCTCATTAATGAAGCAACCAAATCCCCCAATTATAGCAACCATTGATAAGAGGACGCATTAACCAAACTGGGCAGATTCTAATACTTCTTCTTCTTCTTCTTCGAGCCCAAGTAAGGGGACGCATTAACCAGGCTTCATCCAAATCATCAGAAAAAGAGAAATGATGTGGGGAAAGATCTCTACCACCAATCAAAGCATGTAAACTTCATGATGCAACTCACTTAACTACATATAAGACAAGTTCACATCAGAAAGCACACAATCCAGCCGCCCCCGACCAATCTCACCCCTCAAACTGCACATTAGCAAAACCCAGAAAGCAACAACGTCATCGCACCACCAAGAACACTCCACGAGGCGCGCCAAGGCATCGGGCCCAAACCTGGCTGACGATCTGGTGAGGCTGCAACAGGGGATCGGTGAGCGACCGCGGGCGGGAGCTCGAGCTCCTGGGCAGCTCCTGCTTCTTGGCGCCCGAGCTCGGGTACCTGAGCGAGGCCGAGCGATCGAACGGCGCGGGGCCGCCGTTCTGCTGGTGCCGCCGGAGGAGGACCGCGGCGGCGGCGGCCTGCTCTTGCGTCAGGGCCTCCACCCTGTCCCGGCGCGACGATCGGGCGCGGCTCCACCGGCCGGCCGGGCCGGGGAGCGGCGGGGGCGGGTGGCCGTGGTGGGGGATGCGCTTCGCCGCCGCCGCGGGGCGCCTCTTCTTCACCGGTTTGCGGGAGAAGCAGGTGCAGAGGTTGCCCATGCTCGTTGCATGTAGAGAGGAGGAGGAGAAGGAGAAGGAGGAAAAAGGTGGGTGGGTGGGTGAGAAAGCGCGAGAAAATGCGGCAACGTGTGGTAAAGCGAGAGAAAAAGTGGCGAGAGGAGGGAAAGTTGGGGAGAGAGAGAGAATGAGAGAGAAAGGATGGGGGAGGTATTTATAGTTTCTGCTTCGGGAAAAAATAATATATATTATGAAAAGTCAGTTTGATAAAAATTTTAATTCGGTTATAAATAAGAGAAAATACCACAAAAAACTTTAAATTATGCCAAATTTACCCTGAACTTTTTTTTTATGACACGAAAAACCCTAAACTATGCCACTTGTGACACATTTACTCCACAATACTTTGGCCCAATGGCATTTTCGTTTTTTCCTTTTTCTTTTTTTTTTCTTTTTTTTCTTTCTTCTCTCTTCCCTCCGCCGGAACAGAAAGAGGAAAAAGACGAAAACGCCCTTGGGCCAAAGTGTTATGTGGTAAATGTGTCACAAATGGCATAGTTTGGAGTTTTTCATGTCACGAAAAAAAGTTCAGGGTAAATTTGTCGCAAGTGACATAGTTTGGAATTTTTAGTGATGTTTTCCCTATAAATAATTATCGCATATCTTCTTTTAAATAAGATGTTTTTAATAAACCGGGCTGAAATCGATCAGTTCATCCAATCTGAGGAGAGGGATCGAGTAACTTCGGGGGGGCTCGGCTCGATTGAATGTGGGAACGGGCCGCTGCAAACGAGTACAATCCTTTATACCCGTGGAGTGCTACTAATAGCTCGCAGGCCATCTAGCCAAAAGAAATCTGCCGATTTAATCGGGCCATGTGCTGGCTAGGGGATTTAGTAGTCCCGGAAGATTAGTCGGGCGAAATCCATATCACCTTGTCGTTGAAAGAAAAAAAAAAATGAGAGATCAATTCGGCTTCTGAAGTGAGCTTTTGGTTGGTTTTTCTTTTTTGCTTTGTTTCGATCCGTTTCATTCGATTTGACCTATCCGTCCACATAATTCTTCCAACCAACACGACACTAGGAGCAATAACGTTTGGTTATAATGATTAATGCGACGGGTGACATAACACTAGACAGAATAATATTGGGGGTTTTTATGATTGATTGTGATTATAAGCGATATTGGCAAACTTTAGCATATTCGGCGTTGAATGCAATAGCCCCACAGGCTTTTAATCTGTCATTATTAATTTAAGAAATTTTGTTTTAGCCATGGAATATATATATAATGTATATATATCATATATAATTTGCATTGTTTTATCCCATTTGTTATGAATTGTTATTTTCTGAATTTTTTGTTTTTGTGTTTGGGGTTATTTTCGAAACTCTTTCGAGCATCGAGAGTATCTGATCTTTTTTTGTTCTTACATCGAGAGAGTTTTCTCCAAATTCAACCCAAGACTTGATAATTCTGTGAAATGTTTTCATTCATGCCAATCATCTCCACCGATTGGGACCGGGAGTGAAGTGATTGATGCGTCGTGTCTCGAGGGAACCAACGGGTCGCCACGTTTACAATAATTGACGAATTACGTAATAAGATGTCGAGGCTTTTCATCTGTAAAGTTGAAAATTTATTTACGGGAGATGAGATGCTCCGACCCTACGTGAAATTTTGATTTTCCACCGGCGACGGACATAATAATAACTCCATATGCTCATGAATTAATTTCAATTTTTGAGTGTATTTAAGCAATTGATTGAGAAAACCAATCAACAAATCAACTCGTGTATACCCATTAGTTCACAAAAACAGCAAGACCCAAGATATATATATATATATACACACACCGTATTTTTCTTTTTTTTCTTTTTTTCTGAATTTGAATTAAATTAGTTAGACAATTATAATAATTGACAACAAAAGGAGAAATTGACCGAAAAGCATCACATCGATTCTACGACCTTTAAGACTTTCTCAGATCAGAAGAACTTGCTCCTCACGTGCTAGGAAGATTGGGGACCACGAAGCATAAAGTCCTTCACTTTTCAAGCCACCATCAAGGGACAAAAAAAAAGGTAATTATTAAATATTCTAATAGGTTAATTTGCTGCGTAAAATATTGGAGGGAAAAAGATTTGAGCTACTTAAAGCAACTTCAAAAGTGATTAAAATCTTGCTAAAAAACAGGCTAGTTTGGTGGAGAGGAAAAGGAGTTTTCCAGCTAAAAAGCAAGGGCTTGATTGCGAAATCCTTACATAATCCCTGAGTCTGGCTTTCGGTCTAACTCATCTCCTCTTAATCAGGGGCTTCCCTTAGATCATTGGCGTTTGATTAAGAGGTAATTTCACCAAAGGAAGAGAGCCGAAGCTTCGATAAAGCCTCTGCAGCCTGTCCGTTTGCATGTAGTGATGGCGGGCTTCGCGAATGCATTTCTTACCCGTACACTCTGCCCCCAATTCCTACATGTATGTCTATCTTCTCCAAGTAAGAGGAAATAGCCTCCGGAAGTTTTATATCCCGAAGATTCCGATATTCGGACGAGACACGAGATAAAAACCTTTTAAGATCTTACTTAGGACCTTACTCATTTCCTCTTTCAAAACAAAGAAATTCATTTCAAATTGTCGTTTCAAAACAAAGGCACTGTACATTTTAGGAAAAAAAAAAAAAAAAAAAAAAAAAAAAAAAAAAAAAAAAAAAAAAAAAAAAAAAAAGATAAAAAACCTTTTAAGATCTTACTTAGGACCTTACTCATTTCCTCTTTCAAAACAAAGAAATTCATTTCAAATTGTCGTTTCAAAACAAAGGCACTGTACATTTTTCTCTTGGGTTGTTTATAGTGATCCGGTGGCATCGAGGCTAGCAGGTCCACCTTTCTGAGTAATGTTAAAGGCACATTCCCTCGTATCGATCGGGTGTATTTAGGATTTTACCCCTAAAGTACTCCTAACAAGACGTGAACTCAGGACTACAAGAAGAGCAGCAAACTCCACTCTAAACCGACACGTTATCAATGAGAGTCCCCGAGTCACTTATTAAGCACGCTAAACGAGTAACTACTAGACGGCCGGCGTGTGCCCAAAACTCGCGAAGCTTCCTCGATTAGGCAGTCACCCAATAAATGCTCTCGAAAGAGTCTGTGGACCGAATGCCATTTACAGTCGGTCTTGGTCAAGGCATCTTTTCTACCAGATAACCTTCTCGCTTCTCCATCCTCAGGTTCTCATGACAAGGGACGGATATAAAGGCTAACAAATAAAGAGGGGGGGCTTGGGGCTGCTGTATTCTGGGTAGGGTGGGTTGATGAGTTCCATAAATTTTGCTGAGTAGTCATGGTCCCTGGCCCGATTCAATCTGGACAGAAGCATCATCGATTCCAGACTTTAGCATGCTCTTTAAGGATGCGTTTGATAATCATCCTGTTCCTGAAAATAATTTTTGCTCAGAAATGATTTTTTTTATTCTGTTCCCGAAAATAATTTTTGACCATTTTGAAGGCGTTTAGTAAAAGCCTAAAATTTCTATTTCTGGAATAAAAAAAAATAAAAATGCTTTTGGTAATTGCGCAAAATTTCTTTTTATTAATAATATTTTGAAATTTTTATTCTTTTTTTTCCTTTTCTTTTTTTCTCCTTCCTTGTCCATGGCTGGATGGCTGGCCGCAGGCCAGGGCCAACGAGGGCGAGGACTGGACCCTAGCGGCCTGGGCGAGGGCTGGAAGAGGCCGGCAAGGGTTGCCCTAGCCGCTTGTGGCCTGGGCCAAGGCTGCCCTCGCCCAGGTTGCGAGGGTCCAGCCCTCGCCCTCGCCGGCCCTGGCTTGTGGCTGGCGACCATGGGCAAGGAAGGAGAAGAAGAACCAGCCAAGAAAGCAAAAAAAAATTTCTTCTATTTTTGATTATTATTTCTAGAATCAAGAATCAGCCTTTTTTTTTTTATTCTTGATTCTGCTCCAAAACTAGTAACAAAAAATTTACCTAACGGATTTCTGTTCTTTTTTTATTCCTAAAAACAAAAGAATAAAATCAGGTATTATTTAGCCGGTTACCAACCAGGCCCTAAATGTGTTCTTTCCTGCTGTCTAAATGCCCCGGACCTGTTCTCTCCTCTGCATCTTTAAGGGGATCGGCCTGAGGACGGTGGACAGAAAGTAGATATGTGTGTTGCCCAACTTCCACCAAGATTCAGTGGACGAGAACTTGTCCACGCTTTTAAAACTGTATAGTGTGTTCAATACCATCACCACCCTCCCAACCATCCACGTCTCTCTCTCCCTCTCCCCACCTGCACCACGAGGACAGAGATAAAAGAGAATGAAAGAGACGGATCGGCCTAATTCTTTAAAAGACCGTCGACTTTTGGGTCAAATCCTTATTCTGTCCCGATCTTTTCTCTGTCTAAAAGAAATTCCTAACTTCATTGCAGTTCCAAATCTGCTCACGCACCCAAAGATCGCCACGAATTTCTTCAAAATTATCATCATCAGGGCCGATTAGGGGTTCATTATCAGAACCCCCGTCTTCATCATCAACACCCCGTAAAGCCTATAAATAGGCTCATGTTGATCATCTTTAAAGAAACCGGTGGCGGTTTTTAGAATACGTGGGCAGATCTGGGACTAGAGTGAAAGTTTGCAATCTTGTTTTAAGACTATAAAATGTTGGGACAAAAATGGGACTGGATTTATAATTGGGGATTCTTTTGGGGAGTTAGCACGAGATGAATTTCACGTCGAGATGAAAATAAAAGAAGAATCAGAGACGGAACTGAAGCATGCCCTTGCACACACTAGGGTTGCATTGCATTTCACCCTTCCCGAGTAGTTAAGCTAGTACCATGCATAATGGCGGTATCAAGTATCGACATAACTGCCCGGTCCCCATGTCGACATATTCAACTTCAACTTTAGATACTAACTCACATTTCGAATAAGAGTTGTCCGCCGCTACATGACATGCTTTCTCGACTAATACTACCTACGTATCTCTCCAACTTGTACGTACACCTTTTCAATTCCGAGCGCACATGATTGTGGACATACGTGCCCCGGTACCACTCCCCTATTTAAATTT